TAAGACTTATCACTCGCATGCCAGTATCACCATCATGATCTGTAATCCAGAGATTCACCTGCTAACTTCCTATGTGTTATTCAATAAACTCTATTCAGATTTTACCTGTCTGCATTCTTCTGTTCTGTGACAATTAGGCTTCTCTTGATGCATTTCACTAGATGTTTCTGCTAATCCTCATACGTTGAAAAATATTTAGGGTTGTTACAGATTGCAATAACCTCAATGTGTGCCGATATTTTTGGAGAAAAAACCCCCCAATAGTGTAACCATTATAATATACTGATAGTGTTCAAAACATGTCAGAATGATCAAAACATTAATTTAAAAGGGGTAAATATCACAGCATAACTTAACATTTGTAAAAAAAAAAAAAATAATAATAATTCCGTATAAGCCATTAACGTGATAAATGGGTACTTGCAAACTGGAATATGAACAAATAAACCAATGAAAAAACAACACTTAAAAAATAAAATTACTTTTATTTTAACATTTCCTTTGAGTTAAATCTATAAAACAATTTGAAGTAGTTCAATATCTGTGATTTCTTAATTGCATTAGTAATAAGTCAAAGGATACCGTTTCCTGAGAATCAACCGTGTGTCTGCGGGGCAAAGTGCCATATCATTCACATTTAATTTCTTCCAGCTGAAAGCTTTTGGCAATTGAAATTATTAACTGGATCACATTAGGTCTGTCGTGAGACTGTCTGCATATGTGTATTCAATCTAGAGGTCATATAGTAGAAAAAATATTGTATGGTTGTAAGTCTGAGCAAGTACCTTTGCTTAGCGAATATATAGGCTACTGCTTAGTTTTTCTACACTGATTAATTGAAAGGATCCTTCATTGAATGATGTGTGTCAGTTACACCTGCAAGAGTGCAGTGCAACTAGAGAAGTGTGTTTACTTGCGTGAGTGTGTTTTTGTGTGTACGTGTGTAAGAGCATAGCGTTCCCTCGGCCTCTGGTGCCCCCAACCTTAAACAACAAACAAACTGGGACGAGTCCCATGAGTCAGGAGACATAGTTGGGGGGGGGGGGAGTGGAGGAAAAGAAAGAGGCAGGTGTCCATGCCCTGCCACTTTCTGCTATATATACTGAGAAAAATGTTTGATTCTGTGTTTGTTAGAGTAGCTATAAACAATAACTGTGTTCTCATAATAACAACACAAAGATATATCTTGCTGCTATAGATTATAGCAGCCAGACGGATGGATATATCAATACAAGGGTTTGCTACATTATGCAGCATTTCTTAGAATGTTGAGAGATCATGTTTTTACATCACGGCATACTATTACAATTGTTTCCTATGAGATTTTCTCTAATTCCTGCTCATGAATATTGAGGTTTGATTTCTGCAATCATAAAATGTCATTGCAGAAATCAAACAATGTCACATATGCCTTTATCACTTTGTTAACTGGGTCTTTTATGAACTTTTGTGCTCAAGGATATTTGTGAGTGTGTGTGCTAGGTCTGGTCAAAGGTTCAGTGGAAAGGCAAACCTTTTTCAGAAGTCCTACAGGGAGCCAAAGCATTTCTCCAGGGTTACTAACCATCCACTAATGCAACTAATGAGGCTGTACTGTTCACTATACAGCCTGATTACAGAACATGAGCACATGGATGAAAAGATTTCATTCAGTCTTGAGAGCCCATCCATTTTTTTTTCATTTCCCGCAGTGCTTTCCTTTATAGAAGTCAAAGTTGAAGTAAGTTTGCCAGAACAAAGCAGAACATGTAACACACAAATACACCTCATATAAATAAAGGCAAGAACTAGTGTGTGGTAGGCATGGTAGCAGTGCACAAACTGAGGGAAGTCTGGGGAAGCATATATCCCAAATAAGGGATAAATGACTTACCATATACTTATTTCCCTAAATATTTTTGCAGTAGAAAACATAATGACAACATTAATTTGCTTTAACCCTCTGGGGTCCTTCATTTCAGGGTCACACTCAGGGTCTTCGGGACCAAATGGTCCGGAAGGGTTTAATTCATATTTATTAAAAGAAAATCATACATATTTTTTTTACTTGTTTTTTATAAAAAAAAATCTTTTATTTTTTGGTGTTTTGAGAAAATTTTATGATTTATAATTAATATTTATGCAATAATTATGACCCATTTTTTCCCATTGAATATAATATAATTTTTTTATAAATATGTTTTTTTTTTTGTTTTTTTTTTAAGCTGTTTTTCATTTTAGAGTCAAGCCTAGGCCTCATGAAAACAATTTTTGAAATGAGATGGATGCCATCTGCTGGACACACTGAGCATTTTTATCACGCAATAGCACATTTTTACCACTAGTGGATTTACAGCTCTCTGTAGAAAGGGTTCAGAATTCTTGTGAGTTTTGCACATCTTTGACAATTTTTTTCAGGTTGTTGATTTTAAAATATAATAACAGATTCTCAAAGACTATTTTTTGTCTTTTTTTTTGTTTGTTTGTTTGGTTTAAATGGTAATTTGAACTGCCAGTTTTACTTTATAATACAGTCAAACCTGAACATTGCATTAGAAAGAGAACAAATGGAAGCATTTTGTTACCCAATGTTTAATTCTAACTTAATTCTAACTTAATAAAAATTCAATTCTTTCAGTCTTAACATATTTTTATTAATCTTTCACAGTAAACATTTTGAATTTAATGAACAGTATTCAATGAACAGTAACTGAAAATTTAATGAACAAAATCAGTGAACGGTAACTGAAAATTCAATGAACAAAATCAATGAACAGTAACTGGTAACATCAAATAATGATCAAAAAACTAAAATAAGTAGTAATAGCAAAAGTATAATAATTATCAAACAGTAAATTAAAGAAATAAAAAAGTATATTTACATATAAAAGTATATAAAAACTATATTTACAGTAACTGGTAACTTCAAATAATGATCAAAAAAACTAAAATAAGTAGTAATAGCAAAAGTATAATAATTATCAAACAATAAATTAAACAGGTGCTGCAATAGGCCTGGAGGTTACTAGGGGAGAATTCCATCCTTTGATCTAATCTCTCTCTCTCTCTCTCTCTCTCTCTCTCTCTCTCTCTCTCTCTCTCTCTCTCTCTCTCTCTCTCTCTCTCTCTCTCTCTCTCTCTCTCTCTCTCTCTCTCTCTCTCTCTCTCTCTCTCTCTCTCTCTCTCTCTCTCTCTCTCTGTGTGTGTGTCAACAGATGCTGTGATTGGCTTCTTGTTTTTATAAACAGGTACTGCATAGGCCTAGTTGTTACTAGGAAATAATTTCATCCTTAGAAATTACTCCAGTGTCTCCTTTATTTGATTCATTGATTTGTTTTCACATATTTTCACATTTCTCTGTTACAGTTTCACATTACCCTATGTCTGTTTGTGTGTGTGAGTTTGTCTATTTTCCAACCTTGATGGCTTACAGACTCATGCTTTCATTGCTGTGCACTTTATGTCTTACATTGATGAATAATTGCTTTTATTTCAGACATTTCCCAAAATTAGCTTTCATTTGTGTGTGTGTGTGAGTGTGTGTGTGTATGTGTGTGTGTCTGTTTTGCACTCTTGATGTTTTAGAGATTCACCCCTTCACTGTTGAGTCCTTTTTTCTGCATCCTGGCTGATTTGTAGATTGTATGCAAAAAAAAAAAAACTCTGACAATTTCCCATTCATTTCCTATGGGGGTCATTTTTGACCAAAGAGCAGAAGTGTGACGACCACTTAGCATGCTTGGATCATGACCTCAATATTTTTTGTTTGTTCACATACCTAATACCATAAAAGTCACCTAGTTTCGTAACATTCCGATGAAGCTGTGATTTTAAAAAATTCAAAACATATTTATGTTATCTGGATTTATTAGTGTGTTTGTGTATAAAAGTGTGTGTGTGTGTGTGTGTGTGTGTGTGTGTGTGTGGATGTGTCTGTTTTGCACTCTTGATGTTTTATAGATTCACCCCTTCACTGTTGTGTGCTTTTTTTCTGGATCGTGGCTGATTTGTTGATTGTACGCACAAAACAACTCTGTATTGTCACATTTTTGTCAATTTCCCATTCATTTCCTATGGCGGGTCCATTTGGACCCGAAGACCCTGAGTGTGACCATTTTTTTTACAACCACTTAGACTATTCAAATCCTGTCCCCAATTTTTTTGGGTGTTCATATACCAAGTACCAACAAAGTCACCAAATTTCGGACCATTCCGATGAAGCTATGATTTTACACATTTTTTTATTTAAATTCTGCGGGTCCATTTGGTCCGAAGAACCCCAGAGGGTTAAACAGTCGGCAAAAGGGTAAATGTAGTGAATTACACATTAATGTGATTTCAGACTGTATTTTCTGTCCCTTTTAAAACTGCACACTTTCCCTTTTGTCTATTTAACCATATTAGATTTGTATTATTAAAATATGAAAAAAATATGAAAAGCAAGAATGGTTTGAGTCCATTTTAAAGGATTGTGTTATAAATTGTGTCCTTAGTTAAAAAGGATTTTAAAAAATAACTTAACTGGATTATTATTACATTTTATTTATATATTACTTTATAAAAATAATTTAAATTGCATGAAATGAAAATTCAATCTATTTTCTAAATGTACGTTAATGGTCTTTGTGAACAATTCATCCATGCATGTTTCATTTTTTAATTAGTAATTTGACCTCGTAATGTTTAATGAATATGTTTAATCCTAACTTTATCTTCCGGTGAAACAACAGACTTATTTCTGCTGATGTATTTTGTACTTCTCCAATTTGGTCCTGTTAAACCCCACACCTTTCTTACAATTCACTGCAATCTCGCATTCAGATCTGCCTCCATCCAATTAACAACCTAAGTCCCCAACCTACATTTTTCTATAATTACAATACACAATACAGAAGAAAAGATCTGTCGCTACATTGTTTAATTGGAATTTATATTATATTGAATTAGTGCAGCAACATTTTTATGGATCATTCTCTTCCTGTCTCTCTATCCACCCACCTCTTGTTATGTCTTTTTGTTAGGTGATTTGTCCATGGGGGACCTACAAGACCCTTTCCTAGTTTCTATCCACATCATCACTGACCCCGGTCAGGCCAAAACGCTCCAGCAAGCTGCTGATCAGGTCCTCTCCTGGCTCCACCCGGAACTTACCCTCTTCAGGGTGTCAGAACGGGCAGGTGGTCTCTCTCGAAAGCCCAAGGCCCACCTACAGCGCGTCACTGAACCGCCATCACACCAGCCATCCTTGGCCGTCATCCTATTTCTACAGGATGAATATGGAGGTGAAGAGAGTCTTAAACGTCTCCACTGTCAGCTGAGATGCCCACCGTGGCGATACCACCACACAGAGCGTGTGAACGGACGAGGGCTGTTACCCCTTTCACCAGCCAGCCAGGACTTTGTTACACTGGCACCAGGCACACCGCTATGGGCACTTCGCCAGGTCCACTATGGCAAAGAGATTGTGCGTTTTACGGTCTACTGTCGCTACGAGACCTACACCGAACAGGTGCGTCTGTACAGGCTGCTCCTGCGCCGAAGGCTTGCCCAGAAGAAGGAGGATTTCTGCTTCTGTGTGGTCTACTCCAACCCTGAGACAGAAATCCAGTTGTCATTCAAGCGGGTGCCCCGAGGCCAGAGCCCCACCCCCACTGAAAATGCTGTGATGGAGATTCGAGTGAGGGATGTCGGTGAACTTGTGCCACTGCTGCCACGCCCCTGCACGCCCATCAGTGACGTCCGCTGGCAAACCAACGATTATGACGGTAACAAAATATTGCTACAGGTAAGACGGAGAGTGTATTATTGGAAAATATAACTTAAAGTAGCCTTAAAAATTTGTACGGCATGTAAATGACATCTCAGATACCATATACTGACTTCTTTCCATGAATTGTGTAAACATTTCAATTACTAAACTATGTGAGTAGAAGTGTATGGAAAATAAAGATTCCGATAGAAAGTTTATGAATCCGACAGTGACATACTAAACTCCATATATTTTACATAGCATTGTATAAACTCTTATTAATCAAGAGACTACATTAAATATTTGTTCTTTTATAAAGTATTATAATTTTTTCACACCACAGTACTGTTGAAATGAACTAGTGAATGCAAAAAGGTGATTAAAATGATAAAAAAACACTTTCCTTTATACATTTTAAATATTCATAAATTGTAACCTAAAAATGTTGATTTAAAAAAGCTCATGACATCAACTAACAGTATACCATTTGAAACCTTTTATCATTATGTTTTACTAAACATGTTTAGTTGAGGAATTCCCAGTAGTATACTACATTACCCACAATCCTATTGATCTCCACGAATCAGATAAGTCACTGTTACCATGGAAATGAGAATCATTGCAAACAGAGTTGTGGTAAGTTTTGTGAGCTGAGACTAAGCTGCCTACCTAACTTTAGTTCATATAAAATGCAGAGTTGTGAATCAGTTTTTTTTTTTTTTTTTTAGATTTAGTGAGCAGCTCATATTCTTTGCATCTCTTGCAGTGGTGTCCTAAGGGTGTTTTTGGTAGAAACCAAAAATGAAAAAAGTGAAGCAGTGTGTTCCCTCTGCTGTCTTCTCTTTCTGAGTCATTACGTAGCTACAGCAGTAAACAACTGCTGCTAGTACTTACATTGATGAAAATAATACAATGTGAATGCCAACCAGAGGGGCTTGAAATTGAAATCAACAAAGCAATCAAACTGGGCATTAGTGTTTAAATATGCACAGATTATAGTGTAATTTAGTATGCTGCAGTTGCATACAGGAAAAAATTATATGCAAAACTTAAATGCTGATGTGTATCCTAGTTGAGATCCAAACACCTCCAGCCTCTTGTGTGTGGACTGGATTCAATGTAAAAGTACTAAACAAACCTAAAGACAGCTTAACACACAAACAGATACAGGTCAATTTTGCCTGACCTGGATTAGCTGCGATCAAAGCAGGTTTGGCTCTCACTCTACAGCTTTTTTACTAATCAACCCCTGCTGGTGCCAAATGGCACAGGGAGGATTTCACACATAATACACATTATCGCTCAAATGAATAAGCAAAAATGTAACTGAGTCTATATACAGACATATAGACAACGTCTCCCACTTAATTCAGTCTCCTCTATATAGTATATAGACTAGTAGCAAATTCAGCTATGCCATCACAATAATTAATTAATCATAGAAATTTACTGTTACTGAATTTTGAGCAAATAAATATTACAGAAGACTTTTTCAAAATAAATCTTACCAAACCCAAACTTTTGAACAGTAGTGTAAATGCATTAAAATACTGTAATTTTTACACTTCAAAACACATGTATTTTGATACTTTACTTTGCCAGTGACCATTTTGTTTACTCACCAAAAACATTTGGTGCTCAGTGAATGTTAATTTGACCCTACAGGAACCCATGAGGAATCCCCAGAGTGAAAAGGAACATAAACTATTCCAAGAGGAAGATATAGCACATACAAATTGTAATTGAATAGAATGACAAAGAGAGAAAAGTATGAATGTGGAGAACGTGGGAAATGTGTGAGTGGAACAGTGAGAAAAAGGGGCACAAAGAGGCTCAAAGATGGATGGAAAACCAAAAAACCTAGAGGAAAATGATCGAGGGAGAGGTAGAGGGATGGAGGGAATGTGCAGTGAGGTGTGAAGCAGAAAACAGTGGAACTTTGTTACTCTCATGCGCACACACTCAAAAATGCTTAAAGAGAAATTTTCCTCTTTTCCTCTCTTACTCTTTCTCTCTCTCACTCCACAGGTGTACAGTTACTTTATCGAAGCCACATTGTGTTTTTTTTGGCAGTTGCAGGAACATGGCTCATTTTCCCAAGCTATTTTTATTTAATGCCAAACTATTATGACGTTACTTAGAAGTTTTAAAGATTTAAAGCAGCTGATAATCAACTTGTTTTGCTTTAGGACCCAGATTTTATTTTTATATAGATTGTCAAGTGGCAACAATTTATAACACAAAAGTAAAAAAATATTGAGATTTATTATATTGCGATGCACTGAATAGGCTCATCAACATTTAAAATTATTAACAGAACACAACACAAACCATATTTATCCTTCAAATTATTTATTTTTATTTTACAGTGTCTTTTGCTCTCCAAAGCTGTATTTATTTGATCATAAATACAGTAAAACATTAATATTGTGTAATATTATTACATTTTAAAATATCTGATTTTGTATTTAGGGATATTTGAGTATATCTATACCTTAGTGCCTACTAATTGCAAATAACACTCTCAATTTGACTTTGTCAGGTGCAGGGTTCACGGTATTACCGCAAACATACCATTGCAAAGTTTTATCACCTTCCTCCTGAAGATCCTCCGGTCACCTCCCTTCCTCCACCAGAGCCGCCCCCTCCTCCTCCTCCACCATACGGTCGCGGCCCTGCCTCCTACCGGAATCGGCGCTACCACCGGAACTCCTCGCGTTTGCGGACCCAGACCCTTCCGTCTCCTGTCACACACGCCTCCAGGACGTCTCCACCTACTCTGTGTGATCAGGAGGGCCGCATGGAGAAGCTCCAGAGGGATGTGGAACTCTTTCGGGCTGGATGGACAGGCCACCGCACACAGTCCCTCTTTTCTCTGCCTACAGATGAGCCCCGCTCCTCGTGTGCCTCCCCGTCAAGCTTCCGTCCTCGCTGCTTCTCTTCCATGGCTGCTCCAATTTTCCGTGTCAATGTCGATACGCTAGTGGGAGCTGAAGAGACAGATGTGGACACAGGACAAACCATCAGCGCCAGCTCTGTGGACCTGTCGGTGGTCTCAGGTTATTCCCATCCACAGCTGAGGCCCCATCTAAAGGCCCCAGCACCACGGCCCAAGTCAGCTCCTCCAACAGATGGAGGTCTTGACTTTGCTGAACTGATCTATAATAACACCTCCTTCTCTGTAAGACAGACTTCTGTGCCGTTTAGAACACAGAGTGTCTCTGCAAAATCCACACCTTGTGTAGTACACAAACCACAGCTGAAGAATGTGTGGGTCTCACAGCCAGATGCGCTGCAGGACAGAGGACAGCAGAACGGCAATGGTATTGCAACAATAGATGACTGTAGTCAAGAAGGCACTGCGGAGGATGAGCAAGAATTTTACATCTGACACGTGCAGGACAGTCATCTCATTAAGATATATGCAGACATTTGGGTAAAAAGAGGGTGATTTTGATGTCTTTTATAATTGTTAGCAGTTGAGTATTTAAATGTGGAAAACCCTAAAAAATAAAAAGATCTGTCATCATTTACTCATCCGCATGTCGTTCCAAACCCATAATACTTTGGGTCATCTTCGAAACACAAAGTAAGATATTTTTAATGAAACCTGAGAGGTTTCTGTCCCTTTCATTGAAAGTCCAGGAGACTAAAACTTAATTAAAAAGAGAATTGAACAGTTTAATCCAAATCTTTTGAAAAGATACAATCACTTTATATGAACAGATTAAATTTAAGCTTTTGTCCCAGTGGAGAGATATTTATGATGACGAATAAATGATGACAGAATTTTGGGGTGAACTATCCCTTTTAAAAGTTTTGATGTTGTTGTAGCAAATATGTTTTATTATCAACATGCCATGCTTAACAATGTGCATTCATAATGAATGACTTTACTTGTTGTATGCGGTGATATTCTGTAGTGTTTCATAATAGTTATATAATAACAAAAGATCAATTGCTGATGTCAGAGAACTCAATAAAGAATATAACTCTACCACCTAGTGGTTGAACATGGCAACTACACAGGTGCTAGACACTTGTATTATGCCACATCACAACTTTATTAGAGAAAAATATGTATTTCTCTACAATTTGTAGAGTTTCACTATTTGTTATATAAGAGTTTAGGAAAATTGTTTTGTTTCTGGCCTGAATGTAATGCTTTACATTATCACATATTTTAAATTATATGTACATACTTTGTTTTAAATATCAGTGACCGAGATTTTATTAGAATGACTTCTGTGCAAAATATCAATGATTATGTGGATAGACAAGAAAATAATCAAGGAATTCATTAATGTTTGCGTTTACAAATATAAAGTAATTATATTATTTTTCAGTTCATGGTGTGAATTACTTGCTATTGATGTGATGTAATAAAACCAAATAATTATTATGTTTATTATAGGGCTTAGCAGCTGTTTCCAGGAGAGAAAAAAAATAAAAAATAAATTGTGGGAAGTTCTTCTCATACTTCTACTACGATTGGTCACTGGGTCTTGTTATAAATTGTTTTAAAATTCTTTATCTAAATGTATTGCATGTTATGTTGCCAATATGTGCACCTGGTCAAACACAGGAAACAAGATTTATACTTCATGGAACTGTGTATGCCTGTTAATCATTATAAGCTATTATGATCTGATTCTGAAATACTGGTGTTCTGCATTAGGTTATTGAGCCATGAAAAAAAAAGTGACTAATTTCTCACGTAGTGTCTCTTTTATTTCAACCACCCTCTGTACATTTTTTCTGAAAACAAAACAATAACATTAACACCAGTCACCTAACTGAATTTCCGTCTCAAAATTATTTCAAAACATGGTTCAATGTAGGGTCAAAGATGTTTTCAACAGTCAAGGCATTCATGTTTCAGTAGATTCATGTATCCTGTTGATGCTCGTGCACATATACATATATACACATACAGGACAGACATGCCTGGGCTCCGTCCTTGTGAGTTGCCCCTCTGTCAGTGCCAGAACACCCCCTCCCCCAACTAATTCCGTGAGCGTACCTGGCACATCGCTACGTCGATACAGGCTCTCAGTGCTAGCGCGCTCCGGCACTGGACTGGGATTCTGTTAATCCGGTCCAGCAGCCACAGAGCTATGGAAATAGGGCAGGAGAGGTGAACGACAGAGAGCACTCACCAAATATCACAGAGCTTTAGTTCCAACACACAAATCTCGGACAGACCATGCTAGAACATAAATCAGCTCTAATAAAGTCAGTTCCTGTGAAGCAGTTGTAAATTAAACATGCGGGGTTTCAATGACAGAATAATCAGTCAAGAATAATTATAATCATCATCATCATCATTATTATTACTACTACTATTAACCTATAACATATATTAATATTACTACTATGACTAATAACCTATTACCTACTATATACAGGTCCTTCTCAAAAAATTAGCATATTGTGATAAAGTTAATTATTTTCCATAATGTAATGATAAAAATTAAACTTTCTTATATTTTAGATTCATTGCACACCAACTGAAATATTTCAGGTCTCTAAAAAATCTAAAAAAAATTAGCATATCATGAAAAGGTTCTCTAAACGAGCTATTAACCTAATCATCTGAATCAACTAATTAACTCTAAACACCTGCAAAAGATTCCTGAGGCTTTTAAAAACTCCCAGCCTGTTTCATTACTCAAGACGGCAATCAAGGGTAAGACTGCCGACCTGACTGCTGTCCAGAAGGCCATCATTGACACCCTCAAGCAAGAGGGTAAGACACAGAAAGAAATTTCTGAACAAATAGGCTGTTCCCAGAGTGCTGTATCAAGGCACCTCAGTGGGAAGTCTGTGGGAAGGAAAAAGTGTGGCAAAAAACGCTGTACAACGAGAAGAGGTGACCGGCGGACCCTGAGGAAGATTGTGAAGAAGGACCGATTCCAGACCTTGGGGGACCTGCGGAAGCAGTGGACTGAGTCTGGAGTAGAAACATCCAGAGCCACCGTGCACAGGTGTGTGCAGGAAATGGGCTACAGGTGCCGCATTCCCCAGGTCAAGCCACTTTTGAACCAGAAACAGCGGCAGAAGCGCCTGACCTGGGCTACAGAGAAGCAGCACTGGACTGTTGCTCAGTGGCCCAAAGTACTTTTTTCGGATGAAAGCAAATTTTGCATGTCATTCGGAAATCACGGTGCCAGAGTCTGGAGGAAGACTGGGGAGAAGGAAATGCCAAAATGCCTGAAGTCCAGTGTCAAGTACCCACAGTCAGTGATGGTCTGGGGTGCCATGTCAGCTGCTGGTGTTGGTCCACTGTGTTTTATCAAGGGCAGGGTCAATGCAGTTAACTATCAGGAGATTTTGGAGCACTTCATGCTTCCATCTGATTTCATTTTTCAGCACGACCTGGCACCTGCTCACAGTGCCAAAACCACTGGTAAATGGTTTACTGACCATGGTATTACTGTGCTCAATTGGCCTGCCAACTCTCCTGACCTGAACCCCATAGAGAATCTGTGGGATATTGTGAAGAGAAAGTTGAGAGACACAAGACCCAACACTCTGGATGAGCTTAAGGCCGCTATCAAAGCATCCTGGGCCTCCATAACACCTCAGCAGTGCCACAGGCTGATTGCCTCCATGCCACGCCGCATTGAAGCAGTCATTTCTGCAAAAGGATTCCCGACCAAGTATTGACTATTGAGTGCATAACTGAACATTATTATTTGAAGGTTGACTTTTTTTGTATTAAAAACACTTCTTTTATTGGTCTGATGAAATATGCTATTTTTTTTAGATAGGAATTTTGGGTTTTCATGAGCTGTATGCCAAAATCATCAGTATTAAAACAATAAAAGACCTGAAATATTTCAGTTGGTGTGCAATGAATCTAAAATATATGAAAGTTTAATTTTTATCATTACATTATGGAAAATAATGAACTTTATCACAATATGCAAATTTTTTGAGAAGGACCTGTATATATAAATATCATAATTATTATTATCATTATTATTAAGAAGTATTGATCACATAATAATAATAATGATTGATACACCGCGGAACTTTTGGCCACTAGTGGCGCTCGACCTGTAACTTTCACGTCTAGCGTCCCTAGAGGCCACAAGCTCCGCAGCACTGTCGCAAAAGTCAACCGGTCAGCCCATAGACAGTGGGTCAGCCTCCCGTGTCTTTAGATTGTGTGTGCTTGCAGTGTTTGAGGCGGGCAGCCTTGCCGCGCTCGATTCCCTTATAGCAGTCTGCTGAGAGAGAGCGAGCGGGGCGAGCCCCGTGGGGCTTAGTGCTAACATGTCTGTGAGTGAATAAGGGGGTAATCCATCGAGCGGAAGTTGAAGCCGGCCGGGTGCCGCCATGTTGTAGCAGAACTTCACTTGCGTTAGCATTTCCATTGACTCCCATTCATTTTTGCGTCACTTTGACAGCGAATAACTTTACATCTGAGGCGTTTAAAGACTCCATTTGTCCATTATTTATTTCTAAAGAAACACGACAATGTATAAAGGGCTCCATTACCTTCTATGTTACATTATGGCCCCGTAGAAACAGATTTAGTAAAAATAGGCCAACGATTGCGTCATAACCACTCGACTCTCTGTCGCGCTGTACAGAAATTACCGTACAGACAGGAGGAGAAGCTCGCAGAAAATCGGGGGGACGTCCCGTCAAGGGAGAAGCCCATAGATAATGAGTCCATAAAAGCAACGGAATACTTACTCCTGCTCACTCACAATAAAGGACTCTTTGCTCAAGTTCCCCGTCTCTGCAAAATTAACGTTGGCAATTTTCACACACAGCTACTAGAAGATTAACGTCTGTCAGACAGGTTGCTCACGTCATCAAGCTTAGTTTGAGTCGGTTTGAGTCTGCGCGTCAGGAACGGAAGTGCTCAAAAATCGCTAAAAATGGGCTTCAACTGTCTCAACTGAGTTCCAATGAGATGGCTCTGTCCACTTCTTATACTGTCTATGGAGTGAATGTGGGCGCGGGACGGCGGGCACATTTACTGCACTAAAAACACCGTCGGCCTGAGCTGACTGTAACTTATGTGTGTTGGTTTCGTTTTACAGAAACCGTGGGACATGTTGTGTGTAGTGTTTGTGGGCACTGAGTCGTGGGCACGTTCACTACATTTAATGTACATTTGACATGAGTCGACTTTTTTTGTGCGAGCCCTGCACTGTGGCGGGCTGTGTTTGTGTGTAGAAATGAACAATGGGCTGTGGGCATTTTATTACACTCATAACACCATCGGCTGTGGCCGGAATACCAGAAAATACTACACTACTTATATGATTTATCTGTCTGGGTCACCTTGGAAACGGCATTTGTGTGCAGGCAAGCGTCAGCATCGGTCGGGCACCCCTCCTCCTCCTGTAGCTCACGCCAGCGAGCGAACGCTGGACCAATGGTGATCCTCGTCCTGGCTTTTCATTTGTCACTATGCCTTTTTCTTTTTTTTAGTGTCCTCTGACAAAACCTTTGCCTTCTTCCTTGTAGCTGTTGGTTCGGCCATGACGAAAACATACAGACGGCAATCAAACGCGAGTTGAGCACTCACGTCAGAATCTGAGGAAGTTGTGGGTGGTGGGGGAAGTGACGTACGGCATACGTCACTTCCCCCACCCCATAAAAGCGGTTGAATTTTGTAGTTCTTTTTGTGCTCGGGTTCCTACCCGAAACCCGAAGTTACATAGTGCTAGGAAAAGCGATACAGACACCTTCAGGCTACGGCAGACGTGTCATTCAACCTATTGTAAGTCGATGTACCATCTCAATGGGTTTTGGTAATATATTATAAAGGTTGAAAAGTTCCACAGTGTGCCTTTAACACTTGTATTAATATTTTGCTCTGAGAATAATAATAATAATGCATATTATTAATAGCTAATATTAGTAGTAGTAGTTTGCTCACCCTACAATATATATATATATATATATATATATATATATATATATATATATGTGTGTGTATTCATATAAATATATTACTATTTAATAACAGTGAGAATAATAATAATAATTATTATTATTATAATTAGTAGTAGTAGTAGCAGTGCTCAAATAATCATTTTATCATAACAATATTGTCAGGCCTCGTTCTACAGGGGTTCTTGCAAAAGCAAAGGCAGCCTTAGTTGATACTGTAATAATATCATATTGGCCCAGTCCCGAATGGCACCCTAAACATTCATGGTCTTCATATATGAGTCCGCGCTTTTGTGACGTAATGGCACTTTGGCTGGATCCCAAATGGCACACTTCATGTGGACTCGCGGTCTTGTGGGCTTAAATTGTGCGTGCTCGCCAAGTGTACGAGTCCGTAGGGTGTCCCATTCGGCATTTCAGCGCTCAGAAGTGTGCTCGCGAGCGCTGCCTTTGTGCCCTCAATGCAGACTTCGGCGAAACCCGCACTTTCGCACCCTCCACACGAGTTACCTACCCAGGGATCATTGCGAAGTTGCGAATGCCCAATCAGGTAATTGAGGGGAGGAGTT